GCAAGTTTTAGTTTGCAATTTGGTGCCGAGATGGTGAAATGGGCTCGAGTCTGCCGGGTATTTAGGGCGCGCAGACACCAGACGGACACCAGACAGACACCAGACAGACACCAGACAGACAGCCATGGCTAAATTTTCACGCCCCTGTGCATGAAAATTATTCTTTTTCTCGTGCGCACATACTCCACTCACGATCCCTCTAAACAGCTTTTTTTTTGCAAAACAAAACAAAAAGCGTACCCCTAACGGGCCCCACTTTTTCAAAAAAAAAAAACTATTATTTTTTTTTGGCTCTCGCTCTCAATTTCATGCTTCGCTCTCAATTTCACCAATAGACTATGTTGTTTTGACGCGTTATGCAATTCTCATACCAGTTCCAAACAAAACTATTGAAACCGTAGCACGTGTAGACCAATCATTGATCGAATTATCAATATCTTTGGCCCGCCTGAAATGCTGCACTCTGATCAAGGCACTGAATTCGAAAACAAGATAATCTATCGGTTGCAAACAATCCTGGGCTACAACAAGAAACCTCACGGGACGTGCAGAAAAGTTACCGCAGTACCCCGTCTTTAAACCTGGGCAACAAGTGCTCGTATACCGACCACACCAGGATTCAGATGGATCAAATCCGAAGCTGTTCTTACCTTGGCGATATACCATCTGCTCACAACTGGCGACAGTTGTTGTGTATAGGGTGAAGCGAGTCAATGGAACACGAGAAATATCCGTGCATCTTGCCCATCTAAAACAGCTGTAGTATCATGAAAGGAAAAGCCACCAGCACCACAGTTTGGAAAACTGGCTGAATATTCCTTGGGAAACAAATTCCCTCACCTACCCTGACAGCAAACGACGAAAATCAACCGAAAATTGAAAGATACGTCGTACTGAAAGTTGTAGGGCATCGAAGTGGTCAAGGCCGAAAAAGTCCGCGCAACTATCGATATCGTCTAAGACTGAAAGGATACGGTCCTGATTCAGATCTGATGCATCGTGCCGACGAAGTGCCGCAATGCCACGAAATGATTTCCGCATACCGATCAAAACATGATCTGGACATCGCGCCCGCCAAGAAATCGTCCGAAGTGCCGCAGAAAATAGCGAAACGAAACGCGACGAAGGTAGGGACCCGAGTACAAACAAACGCGCAAAGCACAAAGCAAGGCCAAACACGTTGTGTACCAAGCCAGCAAAATGCGTGAACAAGAAAAGTACTCAGCGGAAAAGTAAACGAAGTCCGAAGGCAAACAAAAGATACATTTCCAAAGTATCTAAACGTTGAAAGGAATAGCATCAACAATAAGGTTGCTATCCAGCATTTGGTTGGGTCAAATGCTGGCGAGGAAGTGTCAAGCTAACCGGTCTCAAGTGGAATTGAGGGTCGCAACTCGATGACACTAATCATGAGTCACGAACAAATTCTTAAGACTGTCGAACACCGTATGCCTACCGTACTCAATAAGCAACACGATTGCTTACACCCAGCGGTATGGTTACGCGAACCAGAACCCGTACAAAGTACAAATTCTTGATACTTCACAAGAATAAGCTTTGACACATCATTGATTGACATCAATACCTGGTAGCTTGTACGAGCCTTGGAGAGATTTAATCCCGGCAGTCTTAAGAATTTGTTTCCAACACGTGTGTATTCCACACGGCACTGTCAGCTATCTTCGGATAGTGATGGAGAGATTTAATTTTCGAAAAGCTGTATCTGGATCCAATGATACATCCATGCCTGCTCCACTACAAGAAACATGCAAACATGCATGTGCGCCAAAACCCAACTTCAACAAGCTGAGCTTTCGGCGAAGAAAAAGGGGGGTTATGTGGAGGTCAGGATATGGAGATTCAGGGAGCCCAGATAACACGTTCACAAAGAGTAGGATCTGAGGGAATATGTGATAATAGATTTTACTGTTCTCCGAGGGTCCACAACTCTTGTGATTCCCAACGGCTACGAAGAGTTGATGGATCTGTAGGAGAATGGGAAAATGGGTTCACGAAGGCTCGCCCACTCTCCGCACCACCCTAGCTTGACTGAGTTCGCTCGGTCACGCTTGGCAATCCTCGCCACATTGCACCAAAGGAAATATTCAACCTCCGGTGGCAGGACATAGTCACCACAACCCCGGACGCTCCGCTCACCCAGAGTAGAGGCCTCCATATGGAGATAGATTGTTTACAATCGGTAGCAAAACTCCAAGACTCCCATGATCGGCACGGGGGCAAGAAATACCGACAGAATGTTGACTCTACAAGACAAACGACGCGGACAGAAGATGCAAGACAATAGCTTCGTGCACAACGCAAGTGCTCGTGCTCCGTTGGAGGGAAACACCCGCTCTTCTACAAGCTACAGTAGTAGTGAATTTTTCTCGAATTTTTCTTCTGCGGATGGGTTTGGCCTCGTACCGTTAACACGCCCCGCTCGCAACGTTGACCTTCACGAAACGCACAAACAACAGAAAAAAACATCCATATGATACATAAATGGATCAACTTTCATCCTTCGACGATGCACACTCCTCTTGTTTAAGGCCATCGCCCTCCCTTCCCCCACCACTCTTCGACCAGCCCAGTCTTACTCATCCGACAGCTCTGCCAATAAATTTGACTACGTGGAGAGACTTACCTCATACGCAGGCATGTGCTGCCTGCGCCATGAGGGGGCATTTATTTAGTGCTTCAACTCACCGCTACCCGAGAACAGCCTCCTTAAATCTTAAGAAATCTAGAACACATGGAGTTACAAATCTCGTTTACAGGATCTGTGAAAAAACATCCTGTACGGTCACCAACACGGATTCCGCTGCGCAATTTACAAACGACCACCCACGTTCTGGGGTAGTTGAGTCAGAGCGGGGAAGTCATGTCCTCCCAAGGTTGACCCTTCTCCGTAGCGCTTTCGCAGTAGGCGGTATTGCTTCAACAAAATCATCATCAGGGAAACAACCCCCTCAAAAAGAGCAACCTAATCGACGCGGGCGAAGGAATACACCTATTCCTACAGCGCAGCGTCAGCGGTGTTCAACCTTGTTTCAGACTTTGCAGAGACAGCACAAAGGACTTCTGGCGTTACCCTGATCTGAGAGATGTTCACAACAAAACGTGGCGTTTCGATCATTATCCTTCACGGTACTGTCAAATGACAAGGTTGCCTCCCCCCTCCCCAGCGCCGCCTCAATTTTCAATCATTTTCGACCCAATACTGCGAGAACAGCTTGTAGTCTTTGGCGTAAGCTTCATGAACTGCCTGGAGCGCTTCCGCGGTATACGCCTGCTTGTGTCGTTGTCGTTGTGCGGTGTGTTGCAATACAGGATGTGAAGGTGTTGGGCCGGTCACCCCACGAAAACGCGGAACAAGCACAGAGTCAGGGAGGTGTAGGGGCGGCAAGTCTGGGGGAAAGGAGCGCAAAGATGAGACGTGCAAAAATACAGAGGGCGTGGGAATGGGAGAGAGATGCAGACCAGGCGCAAAGAGGACAAGTGGAAGACGTAGGCCCGTAACGAGGGAAATTGTAGCGAGGCGGCCGAGAGGACCGTGGGGGAGGGGGGGGGCGAGGAACAAACTAGTCATGCCAAACGACCAGACCGAAACACCCGGCGATACACGTGAAGTTGTACACAATATGCTAACAATAGTGCTCCTACTCTTTATCTCGCAACAACAAAGAGAGCAAGGGGTGGCCACGTCGTGCAACAACTGACCTCGTGCTCTACATAAGAATTTCGCACCGTACTACCCCACTGGTGCAGGGAGAACACGACACATTTTCAACGACATTATTAGGCAGCACCCCATCACCCGCACCAACCAAAGGACTGTGTAGCTCAAGCACGGTGAAAAGTCTGGGGTCACACGGCACTGCGCCATCCATACCTCCTGCGAGCGACTCCCTGCGCTGGTCTTCTTCCCGTGTCTCTCGTGGTTGGTGTCCATCCTGTCCACGAGGAACTCCTTGATCTCCAGGCCGCGTGCGGAGGAGGAGGCGAAGGGCACGATTGCCGCCGAGGCCGCCTCCGTCATGTTGGCCCACCCCACGATGCGGAAGACGGGAGCAGTTACGTCCAGCGAGCAGTGGCAGTACTGCGGCGACCAGTGCCTGCTCTCGGAATGGGTCACAAGTAGCGGTAGAGGTGGTGCTGTCGGGGTGTGGATCCCGCGCACAACTCGTGCGCAGCAATGGCGGTCTCGGAACTATGCACGATCTCTTAACGATAACCGTTGATTAGTTATCGGAGGAGCTGAACGAGAGAAGTACGTAGATCAACGGAGCCGATGCTCACACTCAGTGAGCGACCTGAGTAAAAATGCAGCCAGCAGGGAACGCAGCAGAGTAGTGATGGGCACAAAAGTGCACATGACCAGCACCTATATGCGGTAGGTGATGCAAAAAAAGTGGCTCAACATGAGCGTACCGAGTCAGGCGGTCACTGTAGCTTGTTGCGGGTGTCGCAAGGGTCTAGTGATAGGCGGGGTGTGGGCCAATTCGTAGAAATGAATGCAGTCCAAGCACAAGGCAAGACTGGAGCGAAGCGAATAGATGGTCCCGTGAGTTGCGCGAAACGAGCGACCAAAGGGGGCAGACGAGGTCACTCGTTTCTCTACTACCCAGCATTACTACATCTGACCGCGTTCCTAGTGGCCCCAGCCCGACGCGCGGTCTTGTGGCACCCCTGTTCCAAAGACCACAAACCGCCGGTAGTACGTCGTGACGGCCGAGAAGTGGCGCTCCGCAACGCCAAACTCACTTGTTCTGCCCGCAAGGATCTTGCTTGACCCTCCTTGTGATGACCTCAACGTACGGGGCGAACATGCTGTCCCTACCTCTGCTGGTGAACGCCTCCCACACAATAGCAAGCGTGTCTACGCCTGGCCGCCTGTGTCCGTGTGTCCGCGTGCCGTATTCAATTAGCATCGATCTCCCCGACCGACTGACCAACGACATTTCGTATCTCGGTCTCAACAAGACGAAATACGCAAAAACAAACGCAAAAAGCTTCTGTTCTAGGGTGCGGGGTCGGCCGACACGTGCGTTTGTTCCCGTGTGCGCATCTTTATGGTGAAGAAGCTCAACACGGAATGCACGAAGCATTGCAAAATGCGTACAGCCACCGTGCATCTGTACAGCCACGGGCTTTGAATGCGAGAGCGTCTACTTACAAAGTGGTGCGGCTTCTGCGTCTGGCGATAATCTCGCATGGTTCCGTTCGTGTCAATTTGAATTCCGCAGCACCAAGTCCACCGGAAGGAGGCAGAAGGAGATACCGTAAACATCGGGCACGGTGAATCCCCTCACCTGATGCCAATAGTTCACCTACCGAGGCTCGACCTGTACATAACGAACGTTCTTCGTGCTCCGAAGGAGAGGTCATTGACAACTGAAGATAACATGAGTATCCCAGTACCCTCTTCTTACCCTGCTGCCCCTAAATATCCTTCACCTCCTACTCACTAACCAAGACAAACGAAATATCATTCGTAGAAGGACAACTTTCTTACGTGGGCACCCCGTCCGGGAAGCGCTCGCGATCGAACAAGTCTGGCCACAGCTCCAAATACGGACAATTCCTGGTTGTTGGTGAAGGTCCCGATGATACCACCGAGATGAAAATCGAACGCGTAATGTGCGAGACCGAGCAGCTATGGCAGAGAGAGACCGCAAGCAACGAACTTGATAGTGGCGCGGGAGGACCACGCGTGCTGTCAATAGCGTGACATGACGTCAAACCCTGATAAACCTGTAACGAGGTTTAACTGAAGCGATGCCACCTGCATATGCAACATCCATGACGCCCCAACGAGAATCTCAACCACCAACGCTTAGGTTCCACAAGTTTGAGTTCGCCGGGTACACAACCAGGCGAGAGGTGGTGGTTTGTTTGCCCTCATGTTCGCGGACAGCGCATAAAAGTCTCTCACCGCCTCAATATTTGAACGCGACATTGGCGCCTGCTCTGCGCCTGCTCTAGTCTTTTGTGACGTTTTTTTCATCAGATGCAACACAACCACAACGAGAACAACCATGGGACAAGCACACCCCGCACGCGCCCGTGTGCGCCTCTCTTCTCCCCTCCTCGCGCTTTCGTGCTGCCTCATTCCCTCGCCCACCCATGCCGCCGTCCTTCCGAACCCCAATTCTGACACCGACCGCTTCGTGGCTCTCTGTGTCTCACCAAAACTTACAAAGCAAAAGTTCTGAAACGTTCACCAACAAACAAACAAACAATGGACATCATTTACCAAGCCAAACAATCACTCACGAGTATTCGTTCTCCATGTTATACCGGTTGCACTTCTGGAGGAAGCACGACAGCAGCCGCTGCGCCGGCTCGCGAACGACGGCGAACTTCAGCCAGTCCGGGCTAGGAGGAGAGAGCGGACGGAGGAGAGGGGACAAAAGAGAGAGGAGAGAGGAAAGAGGAAAGAGGAGAGAAGAAATAGCAAGGGACAAAGACACAAAAGAGACGGAAAACGGCGCGAAGTGACGGAGGGGATGAGACGAAGCAACAGAGGGGTAGGCAGGGGGGATACATCAAGTGCCATGTCTCGTAGTGGAAGAAGGAAGATGGACGACAATAGAAGCGAGGAGAGAGGGGGCTTCGCAGCAAAACCTGTACATACGACTTCCAGCCAAAAGGTGAGAAGAAAACTTGAACGCGAAGAATCATGGCAAAAAACAACACGGTTTTATTCTACGGTAGTCACTTGTCCAACCAAGTAGAGCCAGCGAGGACGGTGTATTGAAGTGCTCACGGCCAAACCACTCTCAAGCGTGACACCGTCAGGCACCAAAAACAACAAACCTGTTGAGAATTTGGTTCCCGCGCTCGACATCCATTTCCTCCAAGACGTCGAGGCCGTGCTTCTGGTGTCTTGGCTCCGCCCAGTCTTCGTGACCGTCGATCCAGCGGAACACCTTGATCCACTCTGTGCACGCCACCTTCCCAACAACAAATATCGAACGCAAGACGTAAGCCAAACGAAAAACAAGATAAAAGGCGTTGCTGCAGCGGCAAAACATGGCGACCGCGCATAACGCACATACTACACAAGGCTGGTACCGGAGTATTCCATGCCTCGCTTTTGAAACGGCGCAGTCGACGCAGCAGAGCACGTCTAGCCACATGTCAAAAAAGAACACCAACCCCGCACAAAAAACATTCAGCCGGAAACCTTGGGCCCCTGAAAGTCACTACCGCATACGATGACACGACGTTTTGCTTCTACCAACCTAAACGTTCTTGCGGTGAACGGAGAGCATCAAACGCACGCAGGGTCGAATGCATTCCAACGAAAAAATAACCTTGGGAAAAGCGAAACTGGTGAAGCCCCGAGAGAGCACACAGCGCGCGGAAAACGCCGAACTACTGTAGGGTTTTATGTAGAAGGGTGCTATCAGCACATGGAATGAAAAGCAGCGGGATGGCGTGGTCCACAGCGGAGCAAAAGCGAGCCTCAGGAGTACCAGGGGGTAGCAGCGACTTGCAAGCAAACATCGAAGCACGTGATGGGACTGTCAGAGGAGCCCCTTTGATGCGTTTCCACTGGCTAACGATTTGATATTTCGGTGAAGATCGGAGGCTCCCTGCCATGCAGCATAATTCTTTGAGTTTCGACTGGAATTTCGAGGTGAGATGCAAGCGCGCGCGCGCTCCTTGCGCCCACTCACTCCTCGTCACCACCACATAAGCTGTGAGCTGGCCATGCGGTCGGCAACAGCAGATGCTCTCTCTCTCTCTCTCTCTCTCTCTCCAATTCTCTCTCTCTTTCGTCGTTCCGAGGTGTGTTATGCATAAAAGAGCACCCTAGTGGCAACCAATGCTGTGAGCATTGCATCAACCTGCGGCTACATCTACCGCTGCCACGGCAAACACGTAACACCCAGAGACTCTCCGATGCCTTTTGGGCATCCTCTCATCCGCAAAAGCACAGAACAAAGTCGATGCTCTCTCGACGACAACTGTCAAAACCTTCAACCAGGGAAGCAAAAGAAGGGACGCTGCATGGTGGAAACGCCCGAGGCACGAATGACGCGTTGTTCGACCAACAAAACGCTCCTAACTCACCTTCTGGATAGGGCAGTAGACGATCCTCTCGGACTTCAAAGCGAGCGCACCATCGAAATGTCGCGGCAGTTCTAGTTCCACTAATGCCCCCGTTACGTCTGATGGTACCACACCGTTCCTATCCCCGCCCTCTCCCCCTCCGTTCGTCAATGCACCCACAGCAACACCATGGCCCTCGGCTGTTCGCGGGACCTCTGGTGTCTTTTCTGCTGCCGTTGGACCTCGCTGAAAAAGGGTAATGCAGCAGTTTGAGAAGAATCAGGGAACGATTTGAATCAATAAGCAAGAAATGACAAGAGGGAGCGTGAGAGAGATATATAGAGAGATACGCCTGAGGCGCACGTCAACCCATCACTTCACCACGCGTCTTTGCTCAAAGAGAAAAACGTATAACGCAGAAGATCATGTGGCCAAGAGGGTCGTTGTAGGTTAAAAATGGCTGTAAGTATGCCAACTTCGGGCTCGTATGAGAAGATGTGCCTTTTAGCATCGTTAACGGAATCCTGGGCTCACCTCGCGCGGCCTAAGAGCAGTAACGCATGCATATGGTTCCCTTTGGACTACTGAACTCATGAATGCTTCGAAGGTTCATGACTTATGGGGGGATTGCTTCTATCAGGGAGGACATTCATTGGTGCCGAGGTGAAGGCCTGCTTCGATCGGCAAATAGTCTTTACACCCTTCTGTGTGATCATGGAGCTCCTACTCGGCCGAAAAGCTGTGAGTGCAGATTGAACGTGATAAATCACGATTGTGGTGGGAACCCAACCGGGTAGTTTGAGTACTATGCATGCATCGGCGTGTATGGATGTGTCCATTGCATCCACTGTCACACACACACGATCTCGAAAAGAAAGGATGCGACCACCAAAACCATGGAACCGCCTGAAAAATCCGACATCATCTACGCTTGCTGATAGCAGTTCATCGGCACCAATGCGTAAGTACTGCTTAAGGTGGCGAAGAAAATGAGTTTTGACGCTGGCTCTTTTCTCATACTTTGATCCAGCATAAAGAAGAAAACAACCTTTCCGCCGGAGGAAGCTGGTACTGAGTACTAATATCAGTAGAGGACACCACTGAGAGGCGTCGTGCGTGCTGGCACGTTCAGGTTTGCTACTGGAGCTGAAATATCGAAGGTCGCAGCAGCCTCTGAAAACAGTCCAAAGTCTGCGCCGGAACCAAGCGGCATCCAACATTTGTCACAGACGTGCTCACCTCCACAGACCGTAAACCCCTGAACGGAGGTTGTCAGCAGTAGCTAGCGGCATCAGCTACTGCTGACAGTTCAGTAGATTGGGGTCAGTGGCGGCGAGCACAAAGCAGTACATGACACTGGGTGTCAGTCTAATTTACGGAGATTTGCAGAGATTGTAGGCCACTACTACGACCCTCGATATCACCACCAGAAGCAGATTTGAGCGCGCAACACCCCCCTCCCGATGCTGTTAGCAAAAATAACATAATAGCACACAGAAAGACTACCCGTTGGAGATATACCCACAGCAGTCGAATGGGATGTGTTGGAATCTTTTCAGTGAGTGGAGGAAAACCGGCTGGGTACTGGACTTGTTTCGAGTCTATTTAAGCCTATATATTACATCAGTGACACCAGCTGGTGCTGGAAGTACAAAAACATCTGAATAGGTAACGTACAATATTATACATCTCCTGTGGTTCTCTACTGGGTCAACGACACAAAATCGGGGAGAATCCCCCCGATGCTATGTACAGAATGTCCTCTAGTGATATTGGTACTATGCATCAGGTTCCTGCCAACACCGACCTTATTTGAGCGCCTGCCATTTTGGCTCGTTAGACTTGAATTTATAGTAGTCAGTATTTTATCAAAGGAGCGTGTGTGGATGACAGGTGTCGAAGTGCTGTAACCATTGTTGTTGCACATACAAAAGTAGGACCAAGATACGATCCGAACGGAGTATCTTACTGATGGTTGATCAGCAAGAGGCCCAACTATGGATGCGTCCCTCTTAGCCCCACCTGTGGAGCTTGGGAATCCGAGAGGACTCGGGCTTGGTCTCCCTCGCCCCTTCGGCGGGACACTCTCTCTTTTGTCTCTCTCTTCTGAGACCTTCTCCTCTCGAAATCTCAACGAAGAGAACTGCCAGCCCTTAGTAGTGGGTAAAGACTACTGCGACCTGGGCCTCCCCCCAAAGAGGGAAGCCTGTGTCCTTAAGTGTGGAGATAGTCTGGACGCGTGAAATGTATGCTTTGAGCAGCCTCTACTGCCGCCCTGTCCGAGAATCGACGATTTCTGTTTTTCGCGATGCCGACTGGTGTAGTGTGTCTCTTGCGCGTATTCTTGTCTTGCGTTTGTTTCAAAATTAGTCAACATCAAAATACCAAAATTCTTGTTGTGGGAAACGCATGCACAAGAAGGCTGTGTTCGTGGTCACGTGCTTGGGGCGGTACGGAGGGATGTTGTGGGGTGTTCCCCCCCCTCCGCTGGTCCCCACTGCTGTGTGCTGTGTGCGCATCGACCACTCACTCTCACCACGGTACTTTTTTCTTATCAACGAGGTAATGTTCATGTGTTTGGATACGGACTGGTTAGATCTACCGACAACAACAGAGGGCACGCAGATGGGGCATTTGTACACCTTGAAATGGTGGCATGTGCGGGGACCCCTCGAACTCCAAAGAGGGCTTCACTTCTCCCTACTCCCCTTGCGTGTCTAATACAAGAGATAAAACGTCTTCCCCTTCCAAGTAAAGGACATATACGAACACACTAGTGTCAGTCCCTCGAGGGAGAGTCCATTAGGAATGTCAGGTCGCAAAGATGGGGGTGACTCCTCCAGCGACTCTGCGGCGGAAGACATAAAGAGGTCAAGAGAAGAGGTCGTGGCCCTGAGGACGCAAGTTAGCTCGCTGACGGATCAGATGAGCCAGCTGGCACCATGGAGGGTGCCGCTGATCGCGGCGATGCTAGGGAGAGCGCCGCCGCGGAGTCCACGAACGCCGAAGGAGGGGCACCGTGGACCGGGAGTGCGCAGGACGGGAGGTACCTGCGCGAACCTGTTCGAGAGTCTGGCCCGTCAGGGCGACACAGCGGCGAAGCAGGGGGCTTTGTCCCCCAAGAGGTGAGAGTAGCCGCTGCTCACAACCAAGGTCATAGTAGTGCCATGAGAGATGGTGCTGCTGCTGTTGGCTTTGGATACGGAGCCACAACCCCAGCGACGGGGTACCAAAGTGTGCGGTACACTTCTCCTCCGTTCAGCGGGAAATCGAAAGATTTCAACGAATGGCTAAATGATTTCCGCATGGCAGCTAATGGCGCAAACCTGTTGGAACAATTTGAAGAGAGCGGGAGCTTGGAGATCCCCGTCAACAGCGGAAAGAGCAAGTTTTCGCTGTCACAGCAGTACCGGAGCGAGCAAGTAGAGCTCGCATTCCACGCGTGGAACTTCCTGTCTCACGCGTTGAAAGAAAAAGATCGGAAAATCATGAAGAGGGCAGAGACGCCCCAGGGAGCTCTTCGTGAGCTCAAGACCATACACGACCCTGAATCATCTGTACAGCCGTCAGAGGACCTCAAGTCCCTGACGTCGACCAACATCTCTAGAGGTGAAAACCCCCAAAACGCCCTAAACGAGATGCTTCAAACCGCAAAGTCCTTAACCGAGACAGGACTAACTGTCAACGAAACGTTCGTCCTTCACCTCTTCCTGGATGCCCTTTCGGACGAGTATGCCATGACAAAGCACAACCTACGACACGCGAAGGAGTTGACGCGGACCGGTGTGCTAAAGGAAGTAATGATCGAATACAAGGCGATCAAGGACAAGCTGGAGCAGGGGAAAGGAAAAGGGGCGAAGGGCGCAGAGCAAGCGTACTTCGCCGACGGTGAGGGCCGCAGGGAGCGGTACTCAAGTAGGAGTCAGGGGCAAGGTCGTGGTCATGGCGGCGGCCGTGGCCGCAGCAGCAGTCGTGGCCGCGGCGGAGGCGGTCGCGGCGGCGGCGGCGGCGGTCGCGGCGGCCGCTCAGGCGGATCCGGAGGAGTCGAGGAGAGCAAGGGAAGCAGCAGTGGAGGCGCCGATGGCGGCGGTGGCGGGGGCTATAAGTTCCCGGGCCGGTGCTTTAGGTGTGGACATCGTGGGCATCAAGCGATCGGCTGCACTACCAACGAGAAGGACTTCGTGCCGTGGTGTGCGCGCTGCGAGGGGTGGGGTCACACCAAAGAAAAGTGCGCGACGGAGGAGGCCGTCCTAGCGCAAGTGATAGGGCATGAGAGCGACGTGGACTCCGTGGAAGACCAGGCGTTTTGTGCCGTGGCAGTCCCCCCAGGCGAGTGTGGTACCGTTGGTGAAGTAGGTCTAGTGGGGGTTGTGGAACAAGGCCAGGCGGTGTACGTGGCCGACACAGCGGCCACGTGCTCCATGTTCCGATGTGCAGACAACTTCGTGAACTACCGTGAGCGTAGCGGTTGGGTGAAGGGGATCGGAGGCGACAAGGTCCCCGTTGCTCTTCTTGGATACGGAGATGTGACCGTAGTCCTACAGACGGAAGATGGTGGAGTACCCGTACCAGTACTGAATGCTGCCCATGTACCAGCGGCCCCCTACAACCTCCTCTAGCTGTCTTCGTTGGCGGAGGAGGGCCACACGTATTCGGGGATGAAGGGGGGCCCCACGCTGACCACGAAAGCCGGGGGGGAGGTGTGGTTCCCCCGGACTGGAAAGCTGCTGACCCAACGAGGCTATCAAATAAAGCCAGCGCTACACACCGCCTGTGCCGCACTAATTGTTCCTAGCGATGCGAAAGCAGCCAACCCCACTGACCTCAACGAGTACCACCTCGCGTACGGCCATGCCCACGAGACATTGCTCAGGATCACGGCGGAGCAGCAGGGAGTGCAGCTGACGGATGGACCGCTGCTACCCTGTCTTGGCTGTTCGATGTCCAAGGGACAGGTGAAACCCGTCCAGAAGAGCACGAGCACACGCGCAGTTAAGAAGTTATTTCGCGTGTATCTCGACTTGGGGGGAAAGATGAAAACCAGGAGCATTGGTGGCAACTGGTACACATTGATCATCAGATACGATTTCTCCCGTTGGACGCGTGTTTTCTTCTTGAAACACAAGTCTGACGCAGCGGTTGGGTTTGAAAAGTTCCCGGCGGACTACCGAACGAAAGGGGTTCCGTGTGAGGATTATATCGCACGTACCGACGGTGGCGGTGAATTCCAGGGGCAGTTTGCAAAAATTTGCCGCAAACACGGCATCAAACAAGAGTTCACCCCCCCTCACACCCCAAAATACACTGGTGTAGCGGAGAGCGCGCTAGGGTTGATCATTCATGCCGCGCTTGCGTCACGCATCCAAGCGACGCAACTGTTCCCCGACGCACCGAACCACCCCGGGTTGTGGGCCGAGGCCATTTCGTGTGCATGCCATCAGCTGAACTGCACCGCCACTAAATCAAACGAGGGAGACAAATCCGCCTACGAGATGTTCCACGACTCTCCACCGCCTGTCGGGTCTACATACCCGTTTCTCAAACCAGCCGTGTTCAAGCCGAGAAGAAAAGCAAAGTCGCAACCCAAGGGCGAAAAAGGATGGTACCTTGGTCCTGCCCACAATCACCCCCGTGACTGCGTTCGCATGCTAACCGAAGCTGGAACCGTAATCACCACCCGCAATTTCACCTGGCGCCACGTGCCCGCTGCATCGCCCGCTCCCCCGCAGCTGCTACCTCTCGCAGATGACGAGGAGGGCGGGGGGGGTGAGAGCAGAGCGAATGCATCACGCCAAGGTTGCGGGGGGGAGAGAGTCTCAGCGGGTGAGTCCGACCTCGACGTGATGGAGGCTCGTGGGCCAGGGCAAGCGACGCCGTTTGTGCGCGAG